ATACATACATATATCTTTCAAATACAATGGTATCTCAGTGCCACAAACTCAATTCTCTCCACGATACGATTCTGGTCACAAACTGAACTGTACAAGAATGAATCAAATTTCCCCATAAATTCAACATTGAACCTAACCATTGAATTTGGTTTGGTTCTCATCCAACTTGGTTTGTGACCAGAATTGTGGAAAGAACCAAGTTTGTGAACCAAGGTGTGTGTGTGTGTGTGTGTGTGTGTGTGTGTGTGTGTGTGTATATACACACACATATATATAATATATACCCACACATATACATATGTATACATATCTGTGAGATATATATACACATATACATATATACATATGTATACATATCTGTGATATATATTTACACACACATAACATATATACATATGTTTACATATCCACCCCACTCTGGTACCTGGAATCAAATTCAAGACCAGAGATTTTATTCTTGGCCAAGATTAGGAGAAGATTAAGAGTTAACCCTACAAATTAGCTTTTCAACCCTTTGGGCTGGGAGATTATAAAGTAAAACAAATGAGGTGAAGGATGGGCTGATGATTAGGAGCAATGTTCATGTGTTTTGGGGAATGGGTGGAGATTTTCCAAGAATTCAGTACCACCTTTTTTACTCCTTTTATGGTTCTTTCATGTGGTCTCATGGCAGTTCACTGTTGTGGCATGTATTGGTATGCTATTTAGCAAGTGGATAGGATTATAATGAGGTTAGAGGTTACCTAGCAGATGCTTTAGCAGTTAGTTTAGAGCCAACTAGTTTCGGCTTGCCCACCTGAAGAAGGGGTTTCTGGCCTATAGGCATAATGTCCCCAAAGATAAGAAAGATTAGGATGGGACAAAAATTCAGATAGGTCAGGCAAGCAGTACAAGATTGGACTGGGGTTAACAATCTCAGTTACTAAGGAGACTGAGGCAAAAGGATTGCAAGTTCAAGCCTACGCGACTTATAGAGACCCCTCTTCCAGGTGAAAAAACAAAGGGCTGGGGATGCAACTCAGTAGTAGAGTGCTCCTGGGTTCAGTCCCCTGTACTGCCAAAAAAAGAAAAAAAATTAATTATATCAAATGTTCGTAAAGATGAGAAACCATCAGAATTCTCAAAGACTGCTGGTAGGAATGTAAAGCTGTACACCACTTTGGAAATAGTTTAGAAGTTTCTTAAAACTGGGTGTAGTAGTGCACATCAGTCATCCCAGCTACAGAAGGCTGAGGCAGGAGGATCATTTGAGCCCAAGAGGCCAGCAGTTTAAGACCAGCCTGGGCAACATAGTGAGCCCCATTGTACAACAAAATAAATTTACAGTCATATACCTATCATATGACCCAGCTATTCCAAGAAAAAGGAATACATGTGCCCACACAAAGTTTTTACATAGCTTTACAGAGGTGCCTGGGTTCACAAACACTTGCATTTCAGAAAAATTTGGTTTGCATACAGAAGCATTGGTAAAATTTTGTTTTTGTTTGTGAATTCTGCATCAGGCAATGAACACAAATGTAGCCATCTTTTCCAGAATCATGGAACAAACTAAGTTCATGAACCAAGGTACCAATGTACTTGTAATATCCCCAACTGGAAACAAATCAAAGATCCATCAACACTTATTTGGATAAACAAATTACAGATATTAAACATATATCTGTAAAGTGGAATACTACTCAGCAATCGAAAAGTAAATTATTGATATAACCAAATTCTAAAATAATTATGCTGAACTAAGCCAAAGAGAACCCACTGTATAGTCTCATTTATATTAAACTCTAGAAATGGAAAACCAGTATGTGGCTACAGAGACCAGTCTAAAGTGACCTTGTTGTGGAGGAAGGGATCATAAGATGACACAAATTTTGGGGAAGTGATGGATGGGTTCCTCTTGTGTGGCTCTAGGGACCTCTCTGGAGTTACTGGTCTCAGGACAGAGCCATCAGCCCAGCGGGGGTTTGTCCAGGTCTTTGCAGTTCTAGGCATGCACTCATGAGCACAGTCACCAAGCAGAGAACTTGGGTCTCTTAGGAACCATCCAGTGTGGAAGGACAAGCGTGGGACCTGGGCTACTTACACGTGCACCGTGTCTAGGCCTGTGTGCCAAGCACTTCCTGGACCTTCTTGGTGTACTCTTTCTTTCTTTTTTCTAAGTAGAAGCCATTTTTTTTTCTTTTTTTGGTGTCCACTTTCTCAGAACTTGGTCCTTGCTTTTCTCTTTCTTTCTTTTCTTTTTTCTTTTTTTTGAGTAGGAAAAATTTATTGAGAGAAAGAAAGCTTCTGTCTAAGAGAGACAGAAGGTGGAACAGAAAGTGGGTTGTCTGTCCACCCCACTTCTTAAAGGTGTTTTATACAGTAAAGCCATGTGATGAGGTGGGTACAAAGTGGGACAAAACTGTAAGACCCAATGGAAAATTACAAGGTGGGCATGAGGTGGGGCAAAACCATGACCAACCAATAAGATTGCAAGTACAGTCACCCAGATAATATTGATTAAGTGGAAATGCCATGGATTTAGCTCAGTGGTTTCCCTGCCTGCCTTGTAAGCTCATGGTCCCAAGTTCGATCCCTGGTACCAAAAATACATCAATGAGATTAAGTGGGGGTCAAATGAAGGAGCAAGTCATGTAGCAAACTTACAAGGATTTTTCAGTAAGGGTGGGAGTCAGGGATATTTCCTGGAAAGGCTGGGTCAAGACTTTGCCCCCCACCCACCCACCCTGATTGAAACCTATTTAGAATATCAGTTACTGCTATTTATCCCCAGGGGAAGCACAAGGGTGTAATAGTTTCTCGACTTTTACAATTCTGACCTTTAGTGAATGTGTCTTGATTGTCTTCCATGTTGTCTCCTTGCTGTGTTGGCTCCTTGAGATGGCTCTGTCTAACTGCCTACAAGATATCTAATTAACTTAACTATCTGCAGTATTCCCCTCTCTGAATATTGCTGTGAGGGGGCAAAGGGCAAAGACAGCTCTGGCCTTCCAGCTGAAGAGGGTCGTAGTTGTGGTCAGCAGTTAGAGTTACTCTACAGAAGGTCTATCTAAAGGCCTTTGGTAGGTGCCTGGCACTGTCATCTTGGTGCTGCATAGCTTTTAAGTCTTTTTAGTTTTGGTCTCCAAACTTCAGTTGTTGAACACCCATAAGAGAAGATCAGTGACATAAGTATTTCAGTAGGAGCAGTGACCTTAACTATTATAATTTTATGTGGACATTAAACACTTTGAAGTATAAAACACGATTAGAGGGGCTGTTATTTCTTATCAACCATGGTTTTCTAGTAGTTGAGTCCCTCTGACCAGTAATCTCAGTGGGACCTCCAAAATGATATAAGGGGAAGAGATGTAACTCCCAAAGCTGCTAGATATCCGAAATGTGAGTTCATGTTCTCTGAAACTGAAGAATGAATTTTAGGAACAGTGGAGGTTAACAGTAGGAAAAATGTATTGAGAGAAAGATAAGTGGGACGAGAAAGTGGGCTGCCCCTTGGTCCTTTCTTTTGTAATAGTTACTTGCTGCTTGACACTAGTGTAGGCCAGCCCACTCCCTGCCAGTCACATTTAAAGACCTTTAAACTTCCATTTTGACAGTTACTTTTCTTTTTTTTTCTTATAGAAATTCTAGGGAGGGAGGAGGTTGATGCATGGATTCTCCTCACTGTCTTAAAATGTCCCCACCTTGCATTGCTAAAGAGTACTACAGAACTCTGCTGTTTATGACCCTGAAGCAATCAGGCATCCAGAGCTTCTTCCGGGTTGAGTACACTGGAAAGCACTACTCTCTGGTTTTTATTTTATTTACTTTTGCCCAGTTTGAGGGATTGAACTCAGGCCCTTGCGCTTGCCAGGCAGGCACAGTTCCACTGAGCTAAATCCCTGGCCCCTTCTCTGGTTTTTATAAATGCTTGTCCTGAAGAGTCCTAGGCTTTGCTGAGAAGCCACTAAACAGTCTGCTCGACCAATTCCTGATTGGGCTCCTTCAGAATGTGATTTCTGGGAAGCAAGAGACCCAGCCCCCAACCCGCTCCAGACAGGGACTCAGAGGCTCTGTGTACCCTGGGAGCCTCCAGCCTGGACCCTGCCACCTCTTCCCCAGCCAGTTCCCATCAGGGCCTCCCTTGTGGAATTAGAGCATGGTTTAGAGACTATGATTAAAGTCAGTGGATGACTCATTGATGAGAGTTTTCCTCACCCATAGCTGCAGCTACTGAGGAGGCTGAAGTAGGAGGATAGTTTCTGCCTAGAAGTTCAAGGACAGCCTGGGTAACAGAGTGAGATCCCATGGTGGTGGGGGGGAGGTTCTCAGAACTCACTGGAGGATTGACCCGAAAGACCTCTTTATACGCCATTAGAAAAAGGGTGAAGGGAACCTTTCTGAGGAGTGGTATGAGGGCCTTCCTGGTGGGTCCCAGCTGAGGAAAACTCACATTATGAAAGCATTCTTAGTGACCTCTGTGAGGGGTGCCTATGCAAAAGGCCGGAGTATTCCTGTGCTCACTGAATTTGGTGACAAGTGTGAATGGTATTTATTACCACAAGGGAGAGGTGATTAGTCAGGAGCCTGTGTCCCCCACAGGCTGGCCCTCTCCTTCCTGTGGCTCCCCGGCATTTCCAGGACTCTGGTGTCCTGCGCTCTGGTCCTTTCCCATCGGTAAGTACTGACGGAGTCAGCACTTGATTGATGAGCAGTGTCCTTGTGTCCCTGTCCTAGACTACGGCTTCCCGGACCTCACAGAGAAGGCAGGGCCGATGGACATGGATGACGCCGGCCAGACCTCCGAGCTGCCCAGCCTCCCCTCTGCCTTGCCCAAGCTGTACCTGGTGGAGCCACCCTGGCAGGTGCCTCTGGAAGAGGAGGAAGAGGAGGAAGAGAGGGAGAAAGAGGAGGTAGAGCGGGAGGAGGAGGAAGAGGAAGAGGAGGAGGAGGAGGAGGAGGAGGAGGAGGAGCTGCTGCCCGTAAGTGGGTCCCAGGAGGAAACTACCATGCAGGCCCAAGACTTTGTTCCCAGCAGCAGCAGCAGCAGCAGCCAGGCCCAGGGTGTCCCCGGTCACAGGCATGAGGAGTCTGGGGACCAGGCTGCATCGGGCGTGGAGGTGGAGAACAGTGTGGAGCCCAGCTCATCCCTGTCCTCAGTCACCTCGGGCACGGTGACCCCAGGGTCTCAGGACCTGTCCAGCCAGGAGGCCGAGGCGACCACGCTGCTGCCAGTCGGATCCCGGGTGGAGTCTGAGGTCCCACAAGAGGCCAGTGAGGAGGCCACTGTGGGAATCAGCAGGGCGCTGGCTTCGTCCTTGTCCTCGGCCTCGTTCCTGCAGACCGAAGCTCCCCGCAGGGCTCAGGCCCCAGCTGAGGGCCACCTGTACTCCACAACCCCTGCCCCTTCCCCATCTTCTCCCCGAGACTCTGCACCGACGACGCTGTCCCCTGCCATCCCCGGGGAGGAAGGTCTCAGCCAGCAGCCCCCAAGACCAGCCAGCGAAGCTCCGTCCAGGACACCCTGGGACTCCACTCAGGTGAGGCCCCTTCCTCCGTGGGGTCTGTAGAGTGTGGCCCTCGTTATGTCACCAGGCGCGGGCTGTCCGATCCTGCCTGCTGGGCAGCCCTCTGCCTCTGCTCCTCCAGGCCCTGCCTCTCCCTGCCGCCTGTCCTCGGCCTTCCTGAGTTGCCCCCACTTTGTCTCCCGGCACAGGTGATCTGCAAGGACTGGAGCAACCTGGCAGGGAAGAACTACATCATTCTGAACATGACCGAGAACATAGACTGTGTGAGTGCCGGGCAGGGCGGGGGGGGGGGGG